GGAATACTAAGCTATGCGTGTGTAGACTAAGACTCCACAAGGTTGGGAAAATAATTATCTATGGGGGAAAGAACATCTACCAGGAGATTAAAGGCTGAGGCATTTCCAGGGCTCACACAGGGCTGGGAGATGTTTACATTTTGACCCGCTAGAGAGGAGACTCCTCACTGGACACTGGGGACATTCAGTAGAGATTCCAGAAGGATCTCTCCTTAGTAATAAGGCTCAACTATCCATAAAGTAAGGACTCTCTTAGATTCATCTTACAAAGTTTAAAAATAGACCGGGCTCGATGGCTCAGCCTGTTATCACAGCAATTTGGAAGGCCGAGGCGAGTGGATTGCCTGAGCCTGCGGGTTTGAGACCCGCCCGGGCAACTTGGAGAGACCTCGTCTCTATAATAATCAAAAATTAGCTGGGCATGGTAGCATGTGCCTATAGTTCCAGCTACTTGGAAGGCTGAGGCGGAAGGATCGCCGGAGCCCAGCAGGTCGAGGCTGCGGTGGCCGGGAGTGTGCCACTGGACTCCAGTATGGGTGACAAAGTGAGACTCCAACTCAAAAAAACAAAGCTTAAAAACAAGCTTCAAGAGATAAAATTGATCCGCAACCACTTAACTGCCTGGCAAAACAAAATTCACACCGTTTAAAGAAAGATAACACAACCCAGATGCTCAACAATGTAACTCTCATAACATCCAGCATCCAAAAAATTATTAAACATGCAAAGAAGCAGAGAATGTGGCACATAAATAGGAAGAAAATCAGAATAGAAACAGACTCATGAATGACAGGGATAAGGGCAGAGGAGGGCTTTTTGTTTTTTTAATTGGAGTCTCACTTCATCGCCCAGGCTGGAGTGCAATGGCACATTCACGGCCACATCAGCGTTGACCTACTGGGCTCAGGCAATTTTTCTGCCTCACCCTTCCAGGTAGCTGGAACTACAGGTGCGTGTCACTGGACCCAGCTAATTTTTGATTTATAGCCGGGCTTGGTGGCTCAGCCTGTAATCCCATGCTTTGGGAGGCTGAGGTGAGTGGATTGCCTGAGCCGGTGGGTTCGAGACCCGC